ATCTAGTCTTTCAAATTGAAACTTAACGCTACGAAAAACTTTCCAACTTTTAAGTATGAAATTTCACATCGGAATCGCAATTTGAAAATGTATTTTTGTGCACCTTTTTTAAAAAGAGCCCTGATCTGTAAGGGAACCAGGGAGGGGGAGAACAAATTTAATGTGACAGGCAAAAAGAGAGGAACGGGAAACAACAGGATGCAAATGATGGAAAAGAAAACGCGAAGAAACGTTTTATAAAAGTATTAGAGAAGGAAGAGGGCGTAAGAGATAGAGAAAAGAAAAAGAGATAGAAGATGTTTGAAGAAGAAAAGAAGGCGGGAAGAGTAACGAATGCTTTCTCTGTGTCTCTCCAAATTCGATTGGCAAAACGGTGTAACCAAAATATCCTCTACTCGGAGACCGGTTATCACTGTGTGCACTCTATGACACTCATAGATCCGACAAGCGTGAAAACGTTGAGGTAACGTGGCATGTGAGGAGGGAGAAGAAAGTGGGAACAGGGAACAGTGTGGGAAAAGAGATTGGGTTGCAAAGCGAAAAAGATGACCAGGAAGGATACGAAAAAAAGGAAGTACTGGATTAAGAAGATAGGTTAGGCGGGAAAAACCCACAGAGTAAGAACGGATAAGGAAGCAATATGAAAATGGAAAGGTGGAAACAAAAGGGGATGACTCCATTACAGAAAGAAGGCGTTGAGAGTAGCAGAAGTGAAAAGAGAAGTATTCATGTTTGCGGATTTTAAGTGACGTCGGAAGAAGGGGATGAGGGTGGTTAGAAAATAAAACAGAGAGAAAGCGGTGAGGACGATGATGAGACGCGGAATGATAGGGAAAGAAAAGAATACGAGAAGAGGCCACTGCTATCAGTCTTCTGATTCCATGAACCTCGGGGTTCATCTCCGGTTAATTTAAACTTATTTAGGTACCCTTTTCTCATATACCTTGTGAGTTATAATCAATTTGTGAAATTATACCTGTTTTGAATTTTCTGCCACCTCGTATCTAAGCAAACTAGGCTACTATACTCAAATGAAGTTTGTGAGTACCTTATTCCAACACTCTCCATTGCTACTGATATATGATTAGGTCAAATGTGGTACTGTTGGAGGCGTCTGAGGGAGACTTATTTATCGCTTTCCCTTTGTGAATACTGTCCGTTGTCAAGATATTCACATTTGAACTAACAGAAACGTCAATCATAGTTATTTTTTGCGAGTAACCTCTTGCGACACTGCGTTCTCGAGGGACTCAAATTTGAAGAACCCCTAGGGGTTCACCAATTAAATCTGATATTTTAACTTTTCCTTTTGTCTCACTTGACAGGATAAATGATTTATGCATTAAGGAACAGGAATCGTTATTAGAAATTCTTTCAGATGATTTTGAAAGATGTCACTGATTGAGTAAGAAGCATCGTTAGTACCTTTTGTACTGAACTAACGCAATTAACATTTCTTCTTTATGCCTTTGCTGATTAAACACTCAAATATTATGCTACTGCACAAGTTGTAGATCTTTGAGTAACTCTGACCTAGTGTATCTCAAGAGGCAATTTAAAACGAACCAATTAATTTAAATTTAAGGATCGATAAGAGAACCTACCCAACCCGTATCTGAACAAATATTCTCTTCTATTTCCCAATCAATCAGTTACATGTACACAATGCAAAGGTATCTACATCATTTGTGGATCCGTTCAAAAGCTGTTAGGTAAAGCCGGCATCACTTATTGAGTTTATTGCAGATAAAAACTATAGGTAAAAAACATACAAATGAATCACACTTTTCACAATCTAGTTTTAAGACATTTTTGTTTCAAAGAAATATTATTTACTCAAAGAAAAATTTTTTTATTTATCCTAGGTACGTTTTTTTACAAAATTTAAGTTATTAAATTCTTTGTCTGCGGAATATTTTGAAATATGTTATGGAATTTTTTTGAAATCTTTGTACAGGTATCTATTTTTTTCGATTGTATTACAATTAATACCTAAAGGATGTTCAAGTAACTCTATTTTTTATTTCTTAAAAAACTTCTTTCGTCGATGAATGCCGTATTATTGATTTAACCAAAGTATACTACTGTACGCTCAATGACTCAACAAAATATTTATTTGCACAATTTTAGGTATAGGTATAAGACGCGCAAGACGTTTTTTGTCTATTAGAAAATACATTTTTTCTAAATTAAAAATTTAAATTTTCTATTTCAAGTTCGTGTCTTTATCAAACAAAAATCAAAACTGAATAGGGGTCCGGACGAGGGTCCGGATTAAGCGACAAAGTCACAAGGTATAAGATTTTCGTAACAAAAATATTGGTTTTTCCCTGTAAGGTTTTAGGCAAAGAACCTAGAAAAAATGTATTCCTGGGTCTTGCTACCTATATTTAATAATAATAATAATTTGAAATTTTAGATACGAACGATTAAAATAGTATAGTTTTTTAACCTTCAGTAGAATTCTTGCACAGTACCTGAGGCAAATTGTCACAATACCACACAAATAAAGAAAATAAGAAATCAAAGGGTTGTATTCAGAAAAATACATATCACAATTGTGGCATACATAAAACGGATTTCTATCAGTACAGTGTTCATGTGCCCATTCTTTGCAAGTTGTACATCTAATACAGCTTTCAACTGAAAATCTGTAGTTTTCCGCACATAAAACACACACAGTCTTCCTCGTCTGATGAAATTTCTTTTTTCTTGGTCTTTGGGTAGAAGGCAGATTTTGTTTAGCGCTCTTAGATTATTTTACTAGTGACAATTTGGCCCGTTATGATTTGTGAAAACCTGATGCCCCACTTGACCTGTCAAAACTTGATGTTAAATAAAAAAAACAATTAAATAATAAATATATCAAACTATACCTACATAGGTATGTGGTCTACAAGATTGACGGTACTGGTACCGGTTAAAACATATATTTGGCTTGCCTTGGTTTCACATATACCTACACCCACAGTACGAGCTGAGTACCGGTTACAAATTTTACTCGAAAGACGGCGAAATACATTTACCATCATTAAAGAAATAATTACCGGCCGATGTCAGAATTATTTTGTGTGGTATTGGTGATAAGTCCTCTCGACTATAGGTGGTGAAGTGTGTTGCTTTCGTAAATAAGGGAGAAATCGGCATTGTGATAACTTACTACCTATTTCTATTAGAAAAATAGTTGTGATGGATTTTTGAGAATCCTAGTGATGGATATTCCTACATATTGCACAAACATGAATTTTCTTCAAAAAATGTACTTATAAAAGTAGGTATAGGTATGGGTGGTCAACTTGTGGAGTTTTTGTTTTAAATTTCATTTGGCGATGTAATTCCCGAATTATCGTGAAAACAGGAAAACCGGCTGATGCAACTGCGAAGTACCATTATATAAAAAGCGTTACAGGTTAAAAAAATTATTCCGTGATAGGTATTATTAATATAAATTATATATACAACCACGCAAAACGACAAGATACGAAGAATCGCATATAGGTACGATTTTCCATATAGGGAAGTTTTTGACACTCCTTATGCATTCGGAAACACGACTTATAATTCGGCTCACTTTTAATAGCACTAATCTCTGAACTCGTAAAAATCGTTTGGACATCGCTGTCTCTCTTCATTCTGGTGCCCAGATAACAAAATACAAATTTGCATTGAGAAATGCTCTCTTTGTGAATGAAAGATGCTTGGGTTTAATGGGTATTGCAATAGGTATTTCTATAATAAGATTACGGAATTGTTTCTTTATGTATTCTTAAATTTGTACAGGAATTGTCTCTATTTTCAATTATCAATGTGTTAATGGAGCGCTTCTAACTGTGTACCTATTCAGCAATATTAGAGTTAGAAAAAGACATTTAAAGACACGTGCATGCAGCATAAACTATAGAAACGCTAATATAAGTTATAACATTAATCTAAGAGGCTTCCCCAGACAGTGTTATATTATTAATTCGATCGCCTTTTTCAAATTTAAATGTTTTAACCGAAAATTAAAATGCAAAATGTGCTTCACACCATTTCAAATGAATGCAAAAATATCAAAGACCGCATTGATTACCTATAGGTAGATAGTCATTATACAAATATAACATTAACCGTTAGTTTGGCTTTTATTACATTTTAATTGGTGCGGTTTATTAGAAGGAGGTCAGAGTCCCGAGTCTCTTAAATATATAAACGAAAAGGGAAGGTAATTTAAAGCCATTTCGCTCACTCGTCTATTATCTATCTATATGCACACCCAAAAGAAACGGGGCTCAAACGGACACCGCCGTTCATATATATCTAAATTTAACTTTAATTAAGATTAATGATATGCAGAGTAGCTCTATCCGAAGATAGAGACCTTCATCCCCTCTTTTTAATCTTATTCTGCTCCTGGTGATACTATTGCGAGTATCCAACTATCTTATAGGGTAATATTAGCGTCACTTGATGGAGCTTACGGTTTTCGCATTTAGTTAAAATTTGCCCTTATCGTAAATAGTATGTATATGCATAGAGCGACAACGTTTTATTTAAATCGAAGCGTGTGCGTTAGGATAGCATAAAATGTGACACAAAGTCGACAGCAGTCGTTGTCAGGGACGCAGCAACACAAGTAAGTCGAACTTAGTTTCCACCGCTAACAAGTTATGATGGTAAAATACCTTGGTACAGATTGAGTTTCCTGTATATCAAACTCTGACAAAAGTGGAGGCGTACCCCAGCCCGGCGCCAACGACGGCGGGCGTTCCGGTGTAATGCTCGGGCGCCAATCAGTGCATTCAGTTTGATGGCTCGGTCCTCCTTTGGACCAATGAAAAAAACATTAATCTCTTTTAAAAATAGAGCATTGTGCAACCACGCAGCTATCGGCAGTTTAGGCACAGAAATACTCAATGTCCCTTACCATAGAGGCCACCGTAATGAGCTTTAACAGTAGCACATATTTAACATGCACTTGAGTTTATAGACAGAAATATCCCCACTTTAGTATCTGGCACTCGCGACCGCCTACCTTCGAAAGTCCGTCTATGGACTTTCGGAATTGCTGATCATTTCGACAACAACCCTTGACGGTAATCCACGTGGTGAGTGGTTGTGATGTGTAGTGCCGGCCACGTGTTGTGATATTTCGCAAACCGATCGACGCGGCTTGATCGCGTCTTCATCCGACACCACGGCGTCTCCTGTAGCCATGACACAGCATAGTGACGCGTCCAGCGATCGTTCTGAGGTGTCTATATCACCGCCACCACCGGTGTCAAAAATGTTGGAATTTGCTAGTCAACAAAATCTTAATTTTCTAAACTTGGAGCACCGAAATATGTTAGCGGCACCGTTAGCCGCCCTTCATTCTATGACCGAAATGAAAGTTCATCAACAGCCACATATGAGCCCATCAGACCACCAAATGCTGCTTCAGGACAAACACGACGTCGACGTTTTGCTGGAGCGTACAAGTGTGCACGTAGAACGCTCCGGCTTGTCTTCACGTAGTCCGTTAGGAGCAACCGTGAATACTAATTCACAAGGAGCAAATCCACACGGTATTGATCATATATTATCAAGACCGTCACAAATTACGACGGGAAATTTTCATTTCCCGCACAACCTGAGCTTTCCGCAAAACGCATTAAGTATGGCATCGAACAGTTCACAAACCGCAACCAATTCCGGACTTCGAGGCTTCAATATCGCAGCCGCCGCTTTCTTTCATCATCACGCAGCGAATTCTGTTAATAAACCTGTGGAATTAGGCAGAAATACAGCGGGAATATATTGGCCGGGATTTCAAGGACTCGTTGCAAATCCTATGGCATGGAGAGAGCGCCTTAATCTTAATTCTAGTGAGTAATTAGTTTTATTTTTTTTACTTGCCTTCGCGCGGGGGTTAAAGTGTGGAGATCTATAAAATTCCATACAATAATTGCCGCCGATCAGTGCAGCTTGGTGAAGCGTTTAGTGTCAGTTTTCACATACCAAATCCTTCCGTTTAGATGGAGACTGTAGGTATCGATTCCAACATCTTACATTAACCAAAATTTGCTCAAATTACTTGCGGTACGCCTTCGTGTTTATTCAGTCTGTTGGATGTTTACAATACAAATACACCAATGAAGTCCTTATATGATCCTGTGGGTTATTCTGGGGTTACGTGTAATATATTTACTTGGATATCGAAACTAAGTTAAGGACATTTTCCAGTTTTTCATCTGTCCAAATTATAAATACCATTAATGATATAGTTATTAAATCTGCAGATGGTTCATAAGTGCCTATATGAAATGCGAGTAGAATTTAACACTGAAAATAACTGCGACATACATAACTATACATATATGGAAGTTATATACCGATGTAAAATTACATACATACCTAAATGAGACATCAGAAACAATGGGTGAATACTTTGACTTTCTAATAGTCACTCAGACGGCACGTTTAAGCTAAAACTTGACCAATTCCATACAATTTTCCATTGACACTCACTTCGTTACTTTAAAATTAGATGTCCTTTTTATAATATAGTTTAAAAAAAATCTACCTCATCTTTTTCGCAAGAGCTTGCCTTATGTAACGGTTACCTATTGATATATAGGGGGTTCAAGATTAAAAATGCCTTAAAAACGAAAAAGCGGAACTCCTTCACCGATGGATTTTATCTAAACTGGGAAATATATAGCTAGGTACAAAAAGCGCATAGATACCTGTACTGTACGTATTAGATGAAGTTGGCTTTCATATAACAGAACCGTCTAGAAAACAAACAATGCTACCGTGCCAAAACAGTGAAAAAATAAATTAATGTGACGTTTTTAAGCATGATCACAAGTTATTAAAAATGTGTTCTCCATAAATGGTTAGGTAAGGCCTTTCCTTTGCTTCATTTACCTAATAACAAACATCACTTCATTTTGTTAGCGATTTACCTGAGAGATTGTGAGGGACAATCCTGATCACCCATCAAAGACGCATACCTTTACATAATACTTATGGGTCATTTGGGTAATTTACACTATAATAATTGAGGTAATCTCGGTATGTACACATTTTTGGATTATTCGTATAGTACTTTTTATAGTATAATTAATCGATCCAATTCGTCGCTGGGCACCCTGTAGGTTACACCATGCGATCTTTCCTACAGCTTCAAACAACTCGCGGTACAATAAATGTTTTGACAAAAACCGATCGATTTTTAAATCAAGGGGGGCCAATTTGTATGCAAAAATCATCTTGCAACTTTAAACCTGTGCTAGGGGTTGCAACTCTCCACCAATTTTTAAATGGGACAGAGGAGTACATGACTCATATAATGTGAAAAGGTTCTTTTCGGGATTCTTTGTTGGAGTATTATTACAAATTTTGGTTGGGACACCTTGTATTAATGGTGTTTCAACTAAAAGTTGTACCAAATCAATTTACTAAAAGAACGCGCCAAGTTTAGTGCCACCCCCCTGAACAAGTTAAATGGCGATGTCACATGACACTTTAATCAAGAAAAAAGGGCCTTCTTCAAAGTACACATACCTAAACAAATGTGTATGTAAACAATAATGACAATAATAAAATAATCAGTTTGAGTTTTATTCAGAACGATCAATTATACACTGTGTGACACATACTGTATCAGTCATTTGTATGTAGTTATGGTATAGTACCTACCTATGGACATTTTTATTCCAATCAGTCAATTGAAAGATTCTATAATCGTTTTTATACGTCCCTGTAACAATTAGGTGATCAGTTAAGCTGCACATTGAAGCTGATTCAAATGAGTAGACTAACTTTTCAATGCATCGAAATGGTGTTTACTCAGGTGGAAAACTATAGAAAATTCCTTAAAATTGCAACAAAGTAATTTAAATTGATAGAGTTGGTAGTTAAGATGGTATTTGATATTTAAATATTTTGTCACTTTTTTGTAGTAGGTATGTACCCATACCTTGTTATACGATTCCCTTCGTATACGCTTCACGAAAGTAAGTCGATGGGAAAATTATTTCGCACACGTGCTTTTAGCTGTCGCATAAAAGGGTTCGTCCATTACAAAAGTAAGTAGCATCAGTAGCTCAAAGTTATATAGGGTAATAGCGAGGGTAATAGCGAGGTAAAAGTAAGTGCATATGTCAAATAATTTTTGAAATGAGATTATAGACCGTAAAGAACAGAACTTTCTTGAAAGCGAGCTTTCATCACTTCACTTGTGTAAAATGTGTCTTTTTCAACGCTCCTTCTTACCTATTCTTCAGACTTTAATTTAATATTAAAAACATATGGTAATTTTATTTCCCTAACTTTGGTACTTGGGGGGGAGGGGGGTGATTGTGTTGCTAGCTGATGATGACAATTGCCATGTTACGCTACTGAAACAAATAGTTCTAATTTGCCAACGTAGGTGCATGTAGGTAATAGTTATAAATTAACCAAAACTAAAGTTAGGTTTGGTTGGATAATTGATGTGGTGGTACATTGTTGTTCGATATGATAAAGCGAATAAAAGTTATAACAAAACCTATATAAATATATATTAGTTGTTAAGACGAAGCAATAGAAAAACGGACCTTGTATACCTATACCTATGTCATTTGATGAAAACCATTCACTGATCATAAATATTATTAAATATTTTTTCCCATTTAGTATGTTACTTACATCATACGGGGAATGATTTTATCACTCCCAAATTGATAAACAACCAAACAATTGTGGAATCCCAAAAATGAATGGATTGTTCTGGAAGTCTTTTGGCCTTTGAAGTTACAAAACGTAAAACAAAAATGCCCATAAAATTTGAATAAAGATTTATTTGTAACGCAAGAAGTGTACGAAAAGGACATCAATTAAAATATTTTGTTCCTATCACAATATTAGCTAATATTTATTCCGTATTATACCTCGAAAATAATATTTATTTCGTGTTATATCTCAAAACTACCACTTACTTCGTGTTATAGGTTATACGAAATTAATATTAATATGGAGATAGTATCACGAAATAAATATTAATTTCGAGATATAAAAAGAAATAAATATTAATATTATGATAGGAGAACATATTTTAATTGGCGTTCCTTCTACGTCTTTAGAAGACGTCCCTGAAGTGGACAGGACAAGTATAAGCTCAAAAATGGTTCAATGTTCTATTATTTTGAGCTTTTCAATGGTACTGTTTGTGATTTTTGAGTTCTTATAGGTACTTGTTCACAAATGAATTTTGAAAAAAATGCTCTGCTAACTTCACGTCAACTTAACAAATACGAGCTCAAAAATGATAAATAAATTACTGTTTACAGTTTACAGTGCGTCTTTCCCATACCTCATACCTCGTAAAAAATATTTAAAAAATCTTTTAGGCAAATGTTTACTTTCTGGCATTCCTTTATTTTTGATTATCACGGTCTACTTTTATGAAAAAGGCTGAATAACCTTAAAACTATGAGGTTTTGACACATGACATCTTATAAAAATTGAAGAGAACATAAAAGGCTATAGTAGCGAAATAAAATTGTGGTAGTTCCATTTGAAAAAAAATAAGCACTTTGAAATTCGGAAATTTTATTATTTCCTTACTACATTCAACTTTCTCATGATCAAAGTGTTGCCTCCAAACAAGGTCTAAGTGAGGCTTGCTTATGGGGAACTATTCGGAAAGAATTAATAAGATTGCAACATTCACAAAAAAATCAAAAGTGAATAGCCTTTCAATGTATAAGTTAAGAAACAACTAAAAATATACAGGGTTTTCTATTTAAAAGAAAGATATTTATTTACACCGTAAAAATGGGACACCCTATACATCCAAAATTAATTTCTATAGAACCGCAACCGCAACTATACTTGACATTTGCATTTTTAGCGTATTTTTCTCAAAGTGAAAAATCGCTGTTGAGGAATACGGGACACATTTGAAAGGGCTTGGTGTAGGGATCTCGTGCGTACCGATATTTTTAGCACGATTGTTTTTCTAAAGTATTTTTTCAAAACCTATATTTTGGCAGGCGAAAATGTGCAATGCTTTCTTATTTCTTATTTCTTATAAAGTTATTTGGACAACTAGAGCAGAAATGGAGTTTTTCAACTCGAGTTCAAAGCTTGAGGGTTGAAAAACACTTTCTTCTCAAGTTTTTAGATTTTGCTGAAACTACAATCAAATCGTATGCAATAATGAAGTTTGACACATACCTATCAATCTAGATACCTATTAGTAGGTTTCAATTTTAAATGTCATTATTAAAGATTAACGCAGTAATTGTTTTTTACCTTCCTCACTAGAGAGGAAAATCACATTTTCTTCACCCTTTTTAGAGACGAAAATGGTTGTTTCTAGAGTATAGTTCCAGAAAAATTAAATTTCATATGTAGGTAGGTAAAATGCTAACTTTTTTATTTATGAAGAATATTTATGTGCAATTTTATATGTAAAGACTCACTATAGACCGAGAGATAACCACAGATTTTGAGCGATGATTAGAAAACGTACGCCTGTTGAGCAGTCCAATCTATTTTTATGTAATTTTTCAAATTTGGACAACACAAAAAGTTTATTAAGAAACGTCATTTTTAATTAATATACCTATTTGATAATTCATATTGACAGACGTTTGCCAATCAAACTTTTTTTTATCGATTTTTGGAGCATTACATTATATGTATATGCTACCAAGCGAATAAACATCAACGAATAACGTCTGTCAATGTGTTAGCGCCCTATTATTTTCTCTCCAATATTATTAATAAACTTTTGTTTGTGTTGTCAACAATTTGAAAAATCACTTAAAAATAGATTGGACTGCTCAACAGACGTACGATATGCGTTTCTACTCTACTTCTAACCTATGTAAAA